ATATTTCATTAAAGTTTTATAACTTCTATCTTCAATGCTGCCAAGTTTTGTTTTGCATATTTGAGCTCACTTTTACTATTGTGATAAATGAAATTACGAATTTCTTCATATCTTGTATTTTCAAAGCATAAGACTTAAAATCGATTATAATATTTTCTAGAAAACCAAATGAGCATCTGGTGTAGTTTGTTCGATTCGCTGGAGAGTAATGCTTGGCGAATTGAAGACAGCTAATTTAACAAAGGCTGAACGTAGTACTTCACTCTAACCACACCTTTGATTATTGACCAATTTTTACGTTCGTGTTCGAATTGTTTCACACCGATTGAATAAAAGCAATCCGAATACACATGTATCTGAGATGTCCTAACCTTAGATAACTTAAAGTGCGTTTTATGAGCTTTACATGTAAAAATCTATTCTCTATATTTGAGTATATAAATATTTTTCGCAGCAACGAAACATCTTTGTTTCATACATAGTTCCGCCAATAACCAAAACCACTCAAGCAGGTATTTAGTAACTAAGTGAATGCTAAGCATGCTTATAATTAATTCATTACGAACATTTCATTGCGAATCGTATCAATAATGTCAATTTAATTCATACTATATATTGATCCCCTATCCAGCGGCAGCGAAAGACCAAAGCTATACATATATTTTTTGTATATGGTACAAAAATTATAATATAATTATAATATAATGCTCCCTTGCGTAACGGAAATCAGTGAAAATACAAGGAAAACCGTTAATAAATTTAAGACAAAAATTTCTCGCGATTGAAATACTTTTGATGTTACCAAGTAAACAGCTATACAGTAGGGTATAGCCTTATCCATTATCACTTACATTACATGCTACTTACATTTAGTTGAATATACAAGTATGTAGGTACATGCATTGGCATGTATCCTCTGGTGAATTGCGAAATTTCTAGCCACTTCCAAAAACCACATCTCTGCTCAAGTCTTTTGATTTCTGTCTTCTGTTTGTTCGAAATTTTTAAATTCTACACTATTGATTTATTTAACTTTGGCAAATAAAGCACAACGAAATAATGCAATAATATGTTCGCCACAAATATAAATATAAATACACAACCCGGTGTACATATACATAGATACTATTAGCTGTGTCTTTCAAATGCCGTCTCAAGCTATATATTTACCGTAGATGGCACGTACCCCTCTGGGGTGTACTTTTAAATGCACATACATGGCTGTGTATTTTCATTCTTCAACGTTTACCTATCAGCTGTAAGGCTAGACACATAGTGATGCAGCGATTACAGTATTGATAAAGGTGACACGTTCAGCTGCCTGACTTGATAACTTATTATGCGTATTTCTGTTGGGTAACAAGTACTTTTTTTAACTGCTTTACCCCTTGCTTAGTCTTAGCTTTTGAAATGGAATATTTTCAGTCTTTGTATTTCATTTTCGAGTAACTTTTACATTTAACAATAAATTATATATAAGTGGAGGTAGAGATATACTTGTAGAGACTAAGCGAAGAAATCCGGAGATATAAAATTTGTGCTATAAACTAATTTCAGAAAAAAAAGAAATACATGTTATGTTTGATGAAATGTGTGCATAAATGTGAGGTTAGGCTTCTGAAATTACATTATTATTACCAAAACATACTCAAACATATAGGAGTAAATATATACCACATGGACTGAAAAGCATCCGGCCTAATAATGTATATATATGTTTATTCTTGGACATAGTCTCCATCTTGAGCAATGTATTAGCAGCGATTTCTCAATGTTTCGATACTGGTAGCTTAAAGCTCCGAGGCCTTTAAATTAAGCGTTTGATTCCACCTTGAGCTCCTAACTTGAGTGAAATCATTTTTTAACGAGCCCATTTTGAGTCTGCGAAAGAGGAAGTAGCCGGTTTTGCCCAAGTTTGGCAAAAACGTTAGGTTGGGACTAGTTCATACCATAATTCATTTCATTCTTTATTTAATTTGAGAACGGGACCTCACCAAATGCCAAAGACTGAGTGAGAAATAAAAAAATATAAAAATATATAATATAACCGACAAAATCTTTTGATGTCAATGCAATTGATTTTTGTTTGTTTTTAAAATGAATACTCATAAACTTAAGGAAGACACTTTGTATATTTAACTCAATTTCGGTTAATCAGCTTAAATGTGTAGCATGTGACGTATAAGCTTGGTTAGACTAAGTATGACATAATCAACATGCTTGCTCCTTGACCTCAAAATAGCAAATTCAATTTTTAAAACAAGTCGAAAGTGGAAAAGTTATTTAATGCTCTGCAATATTTGTCAAACAAGTGTGTGTTTGCCTTTGAAAATAGATAAATTAGCTTATTTTTGTTGTAAATAATTAGGTTAAAAGAAAATAAAGAAAAAATTTAGATGGCTTGTCGTTGTTTTTTAATAATAAAGAAAATCAAAGCATTAGCAAAGTCAGTAAAATTAATTTTGTTGTAAATAAATTTTATAGAACTTAAAATTTTCGCATACATTTTTACATATATTTATATTATGAGTATAAACATACTTATGTCAGCTTCTTTGCTGCTGTTAAAGCATTAAACTTTTGTGTCTACAATTTTATTTCACTGCTCTTTGACAGTCGCCAGCACCAACTTCGTTGTCTTTCAAGATAGACAATTAATGTGGAACATTTGAATTAAAGCTGACAGTTCAAGTATACTCAGAGGTGACGAACTGAGATTACTTAATAGATTATAAGTTGAGATGGCTGACTAAGTATTTGAAAAACTATTAGTAGGGTGACCAGAAATGTAAATATACTTTTGGTTATGTACATTTTGTCTCTTACCAAAAATAAAAACTTATTAATTTATAAAATAAAAATATTTTATTGCGACTTTAGCTATGGAACAGACTTGTTAATTAGTCCCATTGACTAATTTTTAGTGAATGTAATATTTATACGAATATAAATTGCTGGTGTGTTTTAGATCTGAAATTAATTATTTTAAAGAAGAGGTAGATAAGATCTATTATAAAGTTACAATATATGATACATCTGCCTACATTATCGGTTTAAATAACAGAAGCCCATTGCGTATGAGCAACATTTTGTAGGTTCAAATACTGTTTCATGTGCCATAAACGCAAATTTCGATAACTTACGCTACTGAATATTACAATTGTGTTTAAATTTAAGAATATAGTACGTAGTAATTTGTTTAGTATTAATTTATTTTGCAAAGAAATTTGTGAATACATTAATATTATTGAATATTTTCCATAAAAAATATTTTATTATGTTTTTGATCGTTACAATCATTTTCAATATGGTGACTAAGAATGGATGAAATTTGCCTTCTGTTACAATACATTTAAAATAAGAAATATGTTACTATTTAAATAGTCACTTCGTTCACCCATCTCTGATCACAAGGCATCGCAATTATAATTTCTTCTGCTACATATTACTTGATTTCTTAAAGGCTAACTAAAAATTGCTTTCAAACATCTTTTCTTGTTTCAATCTTGTTAACACAACTCGTGGAATAGTTCATTGAAAAGTTAAGCACTACGTAGTCCATATCGTCCCGGTTGGTACAAGTACGTACTTTTGCTGTTTAGTTGCATTAGCTTGGCTTCCACACGCTGTCACGTCTAAGGCTTCAATAAAAGTTATTTCAAACAAGGCAAGGCAAAATCAAATGGCAAAGGAACTTTAGCAAACAAAAAACAAAATAAAAAAAAGGAAAAAAATTATACTAAAAATCTTGACCAGAAATAGAATAACCTTGAAAAAGTAAATCGAAAGTGCAAACACAACACAAATAAAAAAAATTCAAAAAGAAAAAATAATATTTTTTATCCTTTAATTTAGAATAGATCTCTCCTTAGTCCTTTACATAAAACCCTTTACACCTACTTTACATGTAATGCTGTTAAAATGCAAAAATCCTTTACAAATTTGCTTTATTTCAGTGATTTTGCTTATGCCTTCTTTCATTCTTCTCACTCAACCACATCGCCATTTGGCTTATTTCGCGTTTATACGCAGAGGGCATTAAAGCTTTCTCCCATTAGCATAAAATGCTAATCGTCGTATGAGTTAATACTCATAATAACCTAATGGCTGTGTGTACAGTTATAGACAAAAACAAAGCATAAAACAACAAAGGAAGCCATTAGCGCTGACAATAATAGCAAGGGATTGCATAATGAAAATAGCAGTAAATTAATTATAATTTTTTTTCGGATTTGTGATTGCGAGAATATGTAACTAAATGTTTATTAAAAAATCGTGTAATAAAATGTGAGTTGGTTATGTCATTACTAAAGTATAGTTCATGTTTTCTCTTTTTATAACAAAATAGTTATTAAAAATAAAATATCATTAGATATTTGTCAATATAACTTGATCTTCTACATTTTATTTATGTTTGGATAAATTCCTTAATTTTAATTTTGGGGAATAACGGCTTAAAAGCAGTGCTCTATAACCATTAGCTTTATATACTCTAAGTTAAAACCTGCTCTACGTAAGTAAGATAAAAATATTAGCAGTGGTCCTGAATCTGTAGAACTGTCACAAAATGAAAAATCGTTCAGAAAGGATATACATAATTTTTTTTTTTTGTAATAGAGCATCGTTTGAAAGTTTGTTAGCTGGAATATATTCGAGTTTAATGTTGTCACTTTTAGCTGAGAGCGAATAAGTTTTCATTTGTGTTCTCAACCTCAAGAAAACTACGTACCGGACCGCTTCTCATTAAGTTTTGTTGAATCCTTGCAAGTTAAGGGAGGTAGAGTATATTCTATACAGCTTTATGTAATATTAGCTATACAGCCAATATCAAATCAATTTCGGTTCTCATGCTGGTCATTTCATGCCTTAAAAATGTTATAAACCTGGCTTTAATGCATTATCGATAAAACAAAATCCAACCTAACCTCAAAATTTTATAAAATACCTCTAATAACAATTAATTTAATGAAAATATTTATTTTTTTCTTTATTCTAAACAGAAATATCTTGTTAATACGGACAAAAGTGGCGAATTGACTGTTACAGTACAGGTATGAGTCGAATATTACATCAAACACATCTCAATGCTCTTTCTATAATATATACATGAATAAATAGTATATTTAAATAAAATTTCCACTTGACTTTCTATTAGGGCGACTTGACACAACAAGAAAAACGTGCGGTCTTCATTACAGTCCACGATCTGGGATGCAATCGTAAGTTATTGAAATTTATTTGTGCTTTTTTACAGCAAATATTATAAATTAAATACTTGGTCATTTATCGCAGCAGTCATATGAGCAAACTAACAAATAAAAATTTAAAAAAAGTACAAAAGGCAAAAACTCGTGGAAAATATGTAATATATGCCGTTACAATGGAATAAAGAGTAAGAGAAATAAATAAAGAGAGCCCTACAATAAAAATTCATACAAACATAAATATCTGAGTAAAATATAGTAATTGTGGGTAATTTTTCCATGCGTAATGATTTATGAACTATAAAAAGCTATAAACTTTAAAAAATTGCTTGAAGCGCGAAGGTGAGACTTTCTTTAAAGCATAAAAACATTACATCCCTGTTTCTTACGAAGAAATATAAAAAAATAAATACATTTTAATTAAAATTTGTAAACTTTTACTTCATTAATTATTTACCTACACCGTTTGACAGACAACTCATTCCAAGAATTTGTCAGCAGTCCATGCATGACGGAGATTAAGGAGCGTTCCTGTTTCATACACATTGATGTACCTGGACATGCTGATAATGCTGAGCCCTTACCGGACAGGTAAATAAATATACAATTTTTTAAAACTCAATACTTTTACATTTCGTTTAGGCGTGCTCTGATTTCAGAATTCGAGCACAAAAATCATAGTCGACAGTCTATTGCTTTTTCCTTATTTATCGATTAACTCTTTTCAATGATAATCAATATGGAAATAAAATGGCACAATTCTAATTATTAATTTCACCTATATTCTACAAATATTAACGGCCAAAACCAAAGAATAATCATTAATCTATTAATGAAATTTTATATATCATATCGGTCTGCACAGCTTCCAGTTCCCTTCACTGCAAACACTGGGTGAGGATCTTATTACCGTTTTGGACTTTCTACATGTAAAATATGTGATTGGCTTGGGTGAAGGCGCCGGTGCTAATGTTTTGGCTCGTTTCGGTTTGGCTCATCCATCACGAGTGCTCGGTTTGGTGTTGATTAATGCCACTGGCAGCGCTGCCAGCGTTTTACAATCATTCAAAACTAAGGTAAACCGTAGAAGAATCAACAAATAACATATATATAATTTTAATTAAATTCCATTTGTATTTCAGCTTATACAATGGAAAAATGATGATATTGCACAATCGGCCGAAAGCTTTTTAATGTATCACAAATTTGGGCATGTAAGTATGCAACGGCTCATATGCCGTTATGAATGCATATGTGTGTAGGTTTATGTATGTTTGTGTGTGCACTTTATGAAATGTATTTATGACACACAAAATTCAAAATTATTGCAAAAGTTGTATTTGTCTAGATATATTTATTAAAATTGGAAACCTAACACAAGTATGCATTGATTGGTATGGCTGCTATGTGTACTCGTATGTATGTGTAAATTGTTTTGCGTGATAAATTAAGGATTATATGTAATTATAAAGTAACTTTTTCTTTAACCTTTTTTCTTTTTTTCAACGCGGTTGGTGTAATCAATAATGAAAAAATTATCAAATTGTATTGATTTACTAAAATCACGTGACATCTAAAATAATACATTTGAAACTCCACAAACTCTTTGACAAGCTACAGGTTATGGAGGTATAGCATATAGTATTTCTTATTGGCACAAAGCAGCTTTCAATTATTTTTCTGTGGTTTGCCAATACATTACTGCTTTAAAAAACATAGCTAAACTCTAGAATCGCCAATTAACGCTAATTTGTTATTTTTTTCTGGAAACCCTTTTATATTATATATATATATATATTATACGTAGCTCTAAATATTTGTTTAGTTGTGTTTTTTTTTAAATATTATTGTATTTTAAATACTGCTTTTTATAAATACATATATATACTGAAATTTTTTGGTGATTCTAGAGTCCTAAATATATAATCTTCCTACTTGCATACTTTTTTTTAATATAGAATGTCCTTCCTCTTTTATAACATAAAACAGCAATCATTTTTAGCGTGGCTTGAATATTTATGGTTGATTTGTTAAATTTATTGTATAAACAATAAAATTAAACTTTAAAGTTGAACACCAAAATTTATATACGGGTAGTTAAGATAAGTAGACTTTCTAATTACATAAAGTATTTTTCTTGCATAATTTGATTTTATTTGTCATTGTGAATTGCATTTATTCTAGTAATATTATTTTAAAAGACCCACAAAAAAAATTATTTTCACTGTTTTTTGTGCTCTTTCAAAGTTAAAAACCAAAAATTCCTGAATTTTTACTCACAAAAGCTTTGTGCGCTATGATCAGCATATGTTTATGACAAAAATCCATCATATCTTGTTTTGTTTTTATTGGCCCTCTATTGTACATTGTTTCCCCCGAATATTTTTCGCGTTTTATTGCTTAAAATAGTTTATTTTATCGTAAGAAACTCATTTTACTTTTAATTTTTACTTCAGTTCCAGGTAATTGGCAAATATTGGGCTCACATAGCTCACAGCAATAAGCAGCGAATCCATACAAGCACATTTTGAATTTTCTTTTTCATTACCGTTTTCAACTCTTAGCTGGGCTTGGAGCACATTTCGTTGTTTTTCGATTTCGATAGCATAGTTGCATATATAAATATTGTTCATATCTGTGCTTGAAATCCTCTCATAAACTTACCCATGTCTTAATCATGATTTTACATCTAAAATTCATTAGATGTTTTACATTTGTAAATCTCTCTTTTTACTATTTTATTTTATGATAAATTTGCTATTATTTTTATCGAATTGTAGGTTTTTTTTTTTCTAAGCACCCAAAACGATAAATGTTTCTTTCTGTGCCCATAAAAATTCGTCAAGTGTTTGAAATATACTACATTCACTTCATAAAATAGAAAATGCTTAGAAAATGTAAATATACTCTTATTAACTAGCTATATATACGCTGTATATTTAAAACTTGTTTTTTCCGATTTATAATTCATTAAAGAAAAATTTTAAAACTCTTAAGGCAAAGTTTCATAATACTTTAGTACTAAAACATAATTATTTGCTCATTTAATACGAAAACAGTCATTTTGTCCTTAAGTTTTAAGATGTGAGTATGACTCACTACAAAATCATAACTGCACTTTGATATCATTAGTAAATAATATTGATACTGTTATATTTTATACTTAGAAATCTATCGCACACATACATACTAACTGTATTCTTAAATTGCTTGCCATAAATGTATAAATGTTCATTACTTTCACTCATTATTTTCAACTTTTGTACCAAATCGCCAATACTCGGATATATTTGGACACGTTAACTTCCACATACATACATATCTACATTCCAACACATATACCACAAATTCAAAAAACAAAATTCGCAAAAATCTGCTAAAACTTGTACATATATAGCAATTGGTTGGTGATAATCCAGATAAGGAAAAAATCGTCTCCGAGTATCAGAAGCGTTTGCACAGCACTTTGAATAGCAAAAATGTGGGACTCTATGTCAAAGCTTTTATGAGGTAAGTTATTCTATTTAAAAGAGAACATTTATCGTATTTTTTGCTAAAAACTTTAAAATTTATGAAAAATTGTATATTAAATTGTATGAAAAATTATCACAACACAGCCGTAAAGATCTTACATTGAAGGGCTGCAAAATTGATGTCATCTTAATCACGGGAATGTTGAGCCCCTATGCTTCGATGGTTGAGAAAGTGAGTTCTAAATTGAAAAAAGTATACATTATGGTGCATAAATTATTATATAATATAAATTAATACGCAGTTGCACAAAGATGTGGAGAAGGAGAAGGTGACTATTTTGAAAATCGAACGCGCTGGCGATGTTTTGGCTGATGCGGTAAGTGTTAAAGCAATTGCAGAAGGTCATAATATGATAAAAATAATGCAAAGCTCCAGTTTGTTGTTTATTAAATGTATTTGACACAACATAACTTTTTTAACAAAACTTTGAACTTCATATTATTTATAGAAATTGCCTACATACATATACTGTCTGATCAACTTTGACGCGGACTGCCAAAATAAAATAAAATATAAACAATATTTTCACGTATTTTAATACAATTTTTTATTAACGATTTTAAAATATGTAGGCTCCTTTTGAGCCAATACAAGCATGCCAAAGCTTATACCAATTTTACTGTAAACTAATAATATAGTTTCAAAATTTTTCTTCCATTAATCAATAAATATCGACCACTCTACTCTACCATTTCTAGCCCGCCAAAGTAGCTCAATCTATTTTGCTCTTCTGCAAAGGTCAAGGCATTCTAACCTCTGTGGTTATGCCCGGCGTTGATCGCGGACGCGCTTACTCCACAAGCTCCGGTGGTTCTGTGGACGGACAGAATGGGTCACGTAAACTATCACGTGGTGTCTCTATGGAAGATTACGACAAGCCAAATATACGCCGATTGAGTATTATCAACAACGAATCACCGAAGAAATAAATTTCGCGGTTAAGAAAAATTATTGAAATGCATAAAAATATTGTATGTGCAGGCATACCCATACATAAATTTTTGTGTACAAAAAACTTGCAACAATATGGATATGCTAGTTATAGTTCAAAATATTGTTAAGCTTGAAATGTGTGGGACAGAAATATTACATACAATGCGCCCAAAAATTACTATATTATTTTTAAGCAAAAAAAAATACAATTAATTAAAAAAATATTTGACGCTTCACTAATCTTCAGCATAATAGAAAGATTTAAAGGTGTTAGTTTAAATTAAATATATATATATGTTTGTATATGAAAATAATGCCAAAATTTAAGTGCTAAATTAAAAAAAATATAACCTTTGAATATGCTAATGCAGTAAACATATGTACCATACATGGTTATATATTGATATTGAACCCCATATATACAGCACATACATGTATACACAGCTATGCAAAATAATGAAATCACTTCAAAAACCTAAAAACGGTTAAATTATTTGAAGAGAATCACGCACTTAATCTTTATTGCATGATGCATCAATGGATATTTATACAGAAAATAAATAACAGTTTCATAAATAAACTAAATTAAGAAATGTTTACTTTTTGCACATGAAAATGAAAAATTAAACCCACCTACAACGAAAAAGTGACCAAACATATCTCCCAAAAACATTGTTCGAAAAAAAATCCAAAAGAATAAAAAGCAACTTATGGAAAATTTAGCAACTGTGAACTACACGTAATACCTCCAATGTTAACAAAAACAAGACCTTTCAATTAACAAAGTACACCGAAAACACTTATCGAATTTTGCTTTTTTGTACAAAATTTTCAAAACAAATGTAATCAAACGTTTTTGAACGCCATTTTATTTACAATTCCAGAGATTGTTAAGAAAAATGTTGTAAACGATGAACGTATTCTCTGCAAATTTGTAAAAGCACAAAGAGATTATAAAAAATTCATTAATGTAGTAACAGCTTGTTCTTAAATATAACTCGTTATATGCTTACGATGTTAAAAATAATGTAGTCCAACACGCTGCAGCCATTAATAAATAAAAATACATATATATTCTATAATTACATTTATTAGAAAATGTGTATTGAAACTAAATTGAACTTTAGCCTTGCAAATTTTTCATTTAATGAAAACAGAAAAATCCAGAAGAAGGATGAGTTAATAATTACAGTACATAATTTTATTTCCACATGGATTGGAGCAAATATTAATTTGCAATTAGAAAAATAAAAATTATTTCATATAAAAAGCTAAAGTATATTTTATTTAGAAAAATGCAAACATACATATGTAGGTATGTATATATATGCTACTTACATATGCATGCACATATTTAGAAAATTTGTATTTGCGCTTAAATTCAAGTTATGCTTAAACAATCCATACTGAGTGCAATGTCACAAAGCCAATAAAATCACACAAATCAATATTGAACATAAAATTATAATAATCAAACAATGTATTGTATTTAACTACCAAAACCAAACCAAACTTTAACTAGAATCGCATTAAAAGAGAAATTCAATATCAAATTCTGTAATGATAAGGTGTTTAGAGAAATGTGAAATTAAATTGTTTAGAAAAAGTTTATAAGGAACGTTAAAAATGTGTTTTTATTTACCTCAGCAACAACTGGACGTCAGTGCTAATAACAACCAAATCCATCTCACTCATATCTGGTCATTTATTATTTTAATTATTCATTAAAGATCACCCATTGTCCTAGAAAAGCATTTTAGGTGGTTAGCATCAGTTTGGACTCTAAGTACTTAGCTACAAAGATGCACCAATGTATGAAATGAAAAATATGTTTTCTGGTGGTCTGTAAAGCACGCGGAGAGAGTTTTTTCTTTCCAAGTGAGACCGTTGTTCTGCTACTGGACCAATAATTCGGCATAAACGATCCCTGTGTGAGTTTTGCTCTTCTCTAGCTAATTCACATTGTAGATTACACCTCGCGAATCCCACACTCTTTCGGATTGCACTCAAACAACGTGAAACCCTGTTATTAAATAGTTTCACGGTTGCACTTCTGTAATGTTCTCTTCAGTAATAGCCGTTTTCGGGATAAAACAACGAGTCCAATTCGACTAAAACTGGTAGAAGCCGTCGGACACTTTGGTTAAGTATTTATCGAACCATCCTCATATTTTTATTATGTTGGAATAAATTCTAGATATATATGAGTTAAATTACTACATTATATACTTAAGAGACGGTTGGGCAAATATTATTGGACTCTACCCCTGTCTCTTCCCATCGGTCCGGTGTAGCTAATACTTCAAATAGTTCAACTGGTTAAAATGGATCACAAGAAAGGAACAAAGTCCGTTGTAGTAAGAGACTGATCAGATATCGTCCAATCGTCGAGATTACTCACTTACTTGAAGTTGTTTCAAATTTGTAAATGGACTTATCTTCTTTATATCATATTGTTGTGATCATGTGTATTATTCTTAGGTGATCGATAATATAATTTTTATATGAAATGTAGAATTATTATTAGACCATTGTAATATGGCTATTAGATTTTTCTTTCAAATTTTTGGAACACACTGGCAAGTCTAGCGACATTTAGCTGCCGCAGCAGCAGCATTGACAACAACTGTATAACCAAATGACAGCAGTAGGGAAATGAAAAATGAACGAATTACCACCAACAAAACCTCCGCGCGGAGTTAAATATGGAAAAGATGAGGTAATTATGATTAAAACATAGAAGAAATGATTAAAAATTAACATAAAAATACGTGCAAAATGTTTGAAACAAGATTTTGCTATTTTTGGTTACATTAACCATAATAAAGAGTGCTGTGAAAGTTGTGAATTATTGTGTATTGGGAGGGGGTAGCTCGGTGTTGTCATCATCAGAGCTGTCAAAAGATAATTTCTTGTGCTTTGTCGCTTTGATTTTAACAAAATATAGGGCGTTTTCGTTTATGTTTTAATTTTCTTGTTGTTTGCTAAATAATGTTTACTTTTTATTGTGTGCATAGTCCGGCTGTGGTTTTCTCGTCAATGTCATCAAATCACTGGGATTTAGTGAGACAACAGAGGAGCGACAACAGGAGAAACTTAAGATTGAGAAGGAGTTCAAACGATCCGATCAACGCCTAAATGAATTGGTATCGCGTCATGATCAACAGTTGACACAAGTTCTGCCGCTTTTCAGCCAAGTGTCTACAGAAATAACAGCGAGTCGAGAACGCATTCATGGTGTAAAGGAGAATCTGGGTGCTTGCAAACACTTGCTACAATGCCGACGTGATGAGTTAAAGAAGATGTGGACAGATGCGGTGCAGCATAAATACGTGCTGGAAATGTTAGAACAAATGTATGTATTATACATATCAAACGAGTAATTTTTAATTGAAAATATCTCTATTTTAAGCAACGAATTGCGTAAAGTGCCTCAATGTGTTGTCAGTTATACGACAAAGCGGCAATATTTGCATGCGAGTAAGGCTCTTACCGATGCACTCGCAACGATACAAGGGCCGCTTAACGGCGTTGAAGGATTGGCCGACTTACGTGTTGATTTACAATCCCGTCGGCAACAACTCTATCAACGATTACACGAAGAACTTGTTACACAATTGTATAAAAATTCCGCCGCAGAGGCTTTCACCACTTTTCAACGTAATAATTCGAATCGCCTGAATTCAAGCTTTACACGTGGTATTGGAGCGCGACGCTCCACAGATCGCATCGAAGCGAATACGCGTATACGCAAAGCGCTTATGGAAATGGCCCAAGGCTTTGATATTGATAAGTCTGAAGTAATTGATGACGCAGACTTAGTTGATCCAGAGTTGAGTATGACTTACTTTATTTCAATTATTGTTGAATGTTTCGGCATGCTGGGCAAAGTGCCTGAATCGCTAGAAGTATTACGCGTCCAAATACAAACTCAACTATTAGAGGTAGTACGACAGACAACGTATCAATTAATTGCGCTCAACTGTAATGCCAATGAGCGCGATAATCCCTTATTAACACTGCTAGAAGTTATCTTTAAACAATTCAAAGTTATTGCAAAGACGCATGCATTACTATTAAAAAATTATTTGGCTGTTGTACAAAAGTATGCGGTTGTAGGGCCACAGCCATACGATTTGACGGATTTTTGGGCACAAGCGCAGTCTGTGGTAAGTCTTTTGGAATAATTTTAACTTTCATACGAATTTGGTTTTGCGTAAAACTAAAGTTTAATTAATATCTGTTTAGCTGCAATTGCTTTTAACCGATTATTTGGATATACAAAATGCTTCCGGCGATGATGCAGCGCAGTCGGCATTCGCTGAGCCATCTAACAATATAAATTCGTATTTTCTGCGTCGCAAAGTTCCAAGGTAATAAGGCAACGCTGTCAAAAACGTAGTTTCTTTTTTTTGACTATATTTACATTATTTTTCTAACTAAAATTTAGAAACGTAATTTTATAAGATAAACATTTTTTATAATTTTAACTTAAAACAGAAGTAACTTTCTAAGGGTTTACTCTTCTAAAGTTCTTCAATGCAACATAATTTGTTTCGTATGCAAAATATTCTATTTAAACAGTTATTTTCGATATTAACTAAAAAGTTTGTCTCTAAACAATTTAACATATTTCAAGACATCGCATTCTCCACGCTGTGCGTTGGTTAGTATTAGTCTTTTTTTCACTATGTAAATCCTAATATCGCTACCTTGTAGTAAATAAACCTAGAAGCCTTGTAAGGAACATAAAATAATTACAATATTGCTAATGAAATTTAATACAGCGCTATTTTGCTTTTACTCAATGTAATTATTTTTATAGCACCAAAAAGTCACTCTTCAAATTCGATAAGTCATCGCATTATCCACCACAAGTTGCTGCTGGCAGCACAGTAAAGGAACATCGACGCAATGCTTCTGACGTCTCTACAGATGATAATCTAACAACAACGGCGCTTGGTGGGGGAGGCGGTGGCAGCGGTAGTGTAAATGGCAGTGGAAATTTCGCGCATGCCAAACAACAACGAGACAAGGTGCTAATCTGCAAAGCCGACCAGAATGTGATAACTAAAGTATATTTGCCACTTATGAACTACATACAAGAGATTGAGGGCTTTATGAAGTGCAAGCCGGGGTAAGCTTATTAGCACATACATTTTAAATTGTCATTAAATTTGGTCTCTCTTATTGTTTTACTAGACAACCGTGCAGCTTACACGATTTCATCGACAATTATATTAAGGATACATTTCTATCGAAGGGCCATAATCGTAATTTACAATTAACCATCGAATCGCTATCGAAAAATCAGGATGCATGGCGTACGATTATATCGCCCGAAGAGATAAAAGCAATGAGCTTGTCCCGTCCACTACTACAATCCACAGCCATGGTGGAGCGTCGTCTACAAGAGACGAAAACACTCATACATGAGTTGCCATGCTATTCGGATGAGTTACTGAAAATGGTATGCGCGTTGTTGAAAACATACCGTGAGATTGCACAGGCGGCTTATCGCGGTGTAGTCCAACCCGATTCGGAGGATAAACGCATATATAGTGTAGCTTGGTTGAAGGATGAAGATATAAGTCGATTTTTAAAGTTGGTTGACATAAAACTTGTTAATTAGAGCAAATTGTGTATTATATATATTTTGGTTTACAGAACACTACCCAATTGGACCGATCTAAAATCGTCCAGTCAGCGTGTAAAACATGGCAAGAAGCTGCAACGCAACTCTTTCGAACCGTCGGAGGAAGAAAGTCCACTGCAAGTGCAACAACGCAATGTACGTGAAGCTGAAATGTTAACCAGCAATTTGGGCGAAGGTGGTATTACACAACAGGAAATTCTAGCAGATATAAGTGTTTTGAAAGAATTAGCTGTGCTGCAGGAGAGCATAGAGTGGTTCTCTGGTCGCGTTTCGGAGTTTGCCAATGAGCTACGTAAACCTTTAGTGAATGGCCTTAACGTCATAACGTCAGAATGCACGGCCACACATTCGGCCGCAATCAAAGATGGCACTATCAAAGTATTGACCAATTTAGCACTCGAGTTCGATGAACTGGCTAATACTTGTTTGCTGGTTTTGCACTTGGAGGTTTGTTCAAAATAATAATAATTTATATATAAATACATAATAGATGAAAAAAAATAATATTATTTTCTCGTTAAAGGTGCGCGTGCAGTGCTTCCACTATTTACGCTCGAAACCCGCTACTAAGTCAAGCAGTTTTATGGGAGCTAAGGATGATGACATACTTGAACCTGACCGACAAGTGCAAATGCTAACTAAACGTTTATCAGAAATGGATGAGGCGTTTAGCGCAACATTACATCCGCGTAAGACAAGGGTGCGTATTTAACAATTAATTTTGATTTTAAAAACTATAATAATTTTTTTTTGTTTTTGTTTTTTTTGTCTGATTAGTATATATTTGAGGGTTTGGCGCATTTGGCCGCTCGCATACTCATACAAGCCTCAAACTATCTGGAGCACATCGATCAAGCGACAGTGCAACGCATGTGTCGTAATTCGATAGCATTGCAACAAACGCTAAGCAACATAACAGCTTCGCGCGAGATAGCGCTGGATCAAGCGAAGAATTTTTATGAATTACTTTGCATGGAACCAGATGTAAGCTTGCATATACTGTCTATAAAATCTTTTTTTTTATCTATGAGCTTTCGCCCACTCACAGGATATACTTACCAATATTGTTGAGAAAGGCTCTCAGTTTACTGAAATGCAATACCTCAATGCACTACAATTGTCTTGTAAAGCGAGGGGCATTACAGAAGCCAACGCCTTGGCGTCTTATCAGCAAAGATTATCGGACATTTTGGGCGCAAAACCCTCCACGGGAATTGTTGTTTAGAGCTGTTTTTACAACCAGCAATAGGAAAATGAGTTGCTTCAGCAGCATTACACTAGCAATTAAGACTGTTCGTTTCACTTAACGAAATGCACTTAATTATTTAAAAAGAATATAATGTTTATATGACCTTGCTTCTGTGTTATTACATAGATCGTAAAAGGACATTATTAGTAGAAAAACCTGTGGCTAAAAAGCGCTATATACAAACGAAAAGATTATACAATAGTTAAACGCATTGAATATGGATAAGTGCACGCATTAACTCACTCGTGATTCGCCTGCAACAGTTCGGTTAATTATTAGCTATTATTATATGACATTGATACTATTACAAAGTCGATAAAATTATATACATATATATACATACAAAGCAATCTGTGTTTATTGTTTTAATGTCAGCGGAATTTAATGCTATGACAATAGATGTTTGGTAAATCGTGCCGCGGTCTGTTCGGCGTAGCGGAAAATCTGCGGAATGTAAGAGATTGGCATCCCCAAAATATCTTACAAAATTAAAAGCCTTTTTCGGAAATAAAATATTTATTATCCTTAAGTTCTGTCAAAGCCATTATCATTGTGGAATGCCTTGCCACACTTTCTACATTTGAAAATAAATGTTTAATTTTAATATTTTTACTCGACGGAAAGAAATTTAATGAAGATTAAGAATGAGAATAATAAATTGGAACGAGAAAAACCCTAATAAATTAAGAATATTGTAAAAATTAAATTGATAATAAAATTAGTTATAAATAAGAAATAAATACACCTAAATTGTTTTTAGTGATGTATGCAACTCTGCTAGTTGCTTAACTGGGAATTTCTGCTATAGAAGAAGCATAGTCGGCAGATATTAACTTTCTTGTTTATTTTTTTGATTGGTTAAAAATAAAATAATTGATTAAAAATGCCAGCAAATACAGAAGTAAGTAATAAATGTGCATCTGAGGGAAACTCTCCTTCGAAAATTATCGAAGAAACAACTGAAGTAAAAATTGACAATGCTACCGACGAACCTGTGGAGAAACAAATAAAAGTGGAAATGACGGCGCCAAGTTATAATTTAGCGAAATTCAAGCTGACGCGGATTTTACAAAATAATACTCTCCGAAAAACGATAGCGGTAATCTATAAATTAAAATATATAATGTAATACAATTATACAGAGTAATTGCATTATATTTAGTTGCTGGGTACATTTCCTGAGATGTCTGTGGATGATGTTGCTGTTCTGCTGCTTGAGAAACAAGCTTTCAAAGAGCGCGATGTTCAAACTGAGCTTGATGAAACTTCAGAAAATGTTCCTCGGATATTCAGTGATTCTCTACAAGTGTGTATGGAATTCATTAATAATATTTATGGCAGTTTCCAATGCGTACCCAGTTCGGAATTAAATAGTAATTATTACTACCATTATTTACAATATTTGTTTTTAAATATTTTACACTACATTGGTTTTACTCTTAATTACAGATATTAAAACGACTGTGGTTTATCCTGCCACTGAAAAGCATATTGAAAAGTATTCCATATCGCAAAAATATCTAATTAGTGAAACTCCAGCTTTATATCAGACACTGACTTTGCCTTATTTAACTGACAGTCATTTCAGTCTCGATGTAAGATAATTTTTATTACTTTTCTTATGTAGTATATTTTTTAATGCTTTTTTTCTTTATAGTGGGTATATAACATACTAGAACATCGTCAAGAAACCGATCGCATAATTTATGAAGATTCTGATCCTGAAAAGGGTTTCGTACTCGTACCCGATTTAAAATGGGATGGCAAAACTTTGGAAACACTCTATCTGCTTGCCATTGTCCATAAGCATGATATTAAGTCTTTACGTGATCTTGATCATACTCATTTACCACTTTTACACAACTTGCGTGATGGGATTGCTGACGCTGTAGAGGAGCGTTACGGTTTATGTGCTTCACAATTGCGCATGTATTTTCATTATCAACCATCTTTCTATCACCTGCATTTACATATAAATCCAGTGCGTGGTGATGCACCAGGAATTTGGTGTGAAAAATCGCATATGTTGGATACGGTCATTAGCAATATAGAATTAATGCCAGACTATTACCAACGTGTCACATTACCATTTGTTTTGTTCGAGGGAAGTAAGCTGCTGGATGAATATGAAGCGAAAGAAGCTGTACAAAAACGTGGGAAGGCAGTGGCTGACGGTAAGCAACTAGATGAAAAATTACATAATAAAAGCCGAAAGTCCAATTCAATTGAGTCTCCACAAGCTAAAAAAGTGAAACTTGAAATTTCACAAGCAGAAGTAGAGGAACCGTCTATAAAGATGTTGAAAGAAACAAGAGACTCAGATCAGCCACCAAAAATTATAGTGGTTTCAGCAGAATAAGTTGCGATCTCGAATTTACTTAACAAAAAGTAATGCGTTTGTTTACCTTCAATTATTTCCAAAATAAAAGAAATATATTTGGCCAAGACACATTTTAGCTTCCGCATAGTATTCATGCCATTATTGTCAATGGTGCTAAGATAGTGTGTAATTAAAAAACTTCATAAACAAACAAATATTCAATAACCACAAATAAATGGAGAGTACTCAAAGTCACTATGCGTTTAAATATTTGTTTAGCGTACTGTTTTTTTCTTTGTGTGCTCCAAAATATACAGATAAAGGTACAACCTTCAGATTAAAAACTGTAGTGGTTTTAAAAATTGTGCACTGCGTTGATCTTTATTAACAATATTAACTAAAACATAAAGTGAAGTGTTTGGATGCACCAACTTCCAAAGTTCACAATGACTATTCAAAAAATAACAGGTGTGTTTTTTTCTTATGCATGGATTTTCATTAAATGAAAATTGCATTTGTTTATTTGTTTGCTTTTGTTACTTTTCATTATGTTGCATTATGGATGAAGCATTTCATTATAATTATTATTGATTTATGTATTTAATTTCGCTTGCGCAGCAAATTAATGCTCATTTATAGTTGTGTCATCGTGTCCTATGTCAAGTGTTTTCTTTTTATATTGTATTTATGTAAACATAAAAGATGTATGGATGTGTTGATGTGGTGTCATTACATGCAAATTTGCTTTATATTTTTATATATTTATTTATTTAGGTAGTATACATTATTGTTGCTTTTGCTCAATATTTTTTTGCAGTGTATTTATAATTTTAAATATATAAATTTATATTTGTATTAAGCTAACGGCTATATGGGTTCCATATTGATAAGCAACATTGATCAGTTGGAACATATAGAGTTTCAGAACCATCGTGCCGCGGTCAACACAAACAAACATTTACATACTACATAAATATAAACATATAGTATATGCGTTGACATTGCGGTCGGAAATAGCATAACGGTGGAATCACACGAAATTTTTCCCACCAATGTTAGCGTCAGTATATGTTCGTTTTTTGCTGCTCACAGCGGGCCGACGGTTGTGTATATTATTTGCTATTGCTGTTCATCTCTGCGCTGTTGCTGCTGCGGCAAGGCATTAAATACAGTATTTTAGGCCACCAGTGCCGAAATATTTACTTAAATAACCGCTGCGCATGCGTATTCCCAGCTGGAAGCCTTACACAATTTAAAACTAAATTCTATTACAATTTTCTGCACAATCTTCATATTAATTCGTTTGTCTTTGCTTGTTGCTTATAGTTTAGCATTTTTAAAATTAGTATTTATTTTGAGTTTTAATTCTATCATTTTCGAAATATAATTAAAAACTTTTTTTGTTTAGTATACTATATAAAAATATCCATAATCATTATACATATAATGAATAATAATTAAAAAAAAAACAAAAAAAAACAATTGTCTGACTGACTAAAAGACGCGACTCAGTATACGCCACTACTGGGTGACATCCGTGCTCTGACTTGCAATTTAAAAATATAAATTTTCTTGCTATCTTTCTTGCATAATTCTATGTTTTCCTACTACTTCAGTTTTATGAATATCAATATAGCGTATATAAATGTTTATTATCAAGAAATACTATTTATTAATTGATAGTGGTGGAGGCTGAGGAGGTCGAGGCGTTTGTGGCGGTTACAGTTGATGGTAGCGCGGCAGCGGTAATGGTTGTAATTTCTGTTGGATTGGAAGAGTGAATAATTTGCTGCTGGGCGTGTGCATAATGTGTTTGCTGTGGTGCATTTATGCTATTCACAGTGACATTTGTTGTTGTTCCATCGTTTTGTTGCCCTAAAGACTCTTGTCTAAATTGTTGTTGTGTGTGCCCTGTATACGATGGTGGCAGTGCGCCAGCTGGTGGCGTCGATGTGTTTAGCACATGCTGCTGTGGTTGTTGTTGTTGCTGCTGCTGATGCTGTTGCTGAACGGGCATTTCTATTTGCAAATGCATCTGTGGTGGCAATATTTGAATATGCTGTTGCTGCTGCTCCTGCAATTGTTGTTGCTGTTGCTGTTGCATATGATACATGGTGGCGGCAATTTCTGCACCCATACTGGCTGCTTGCATACTTGCATTTGCTACAGTGGCGTTAGGATCCATATCGGCCACAGACCAATTACGCTCCATCTGGTTAAGCGCCGCCAAAGTCGCGCTGGTTGCTGGTTTGATGCCAACATTTATATGCGCATGCACATTTCCATCACCATTGTTGACGCCGCCACCCCCACCGCCACCGGCACCCGCACCAACTGCACTCACGTTGGTGGCGATATTAGCACCACTTGCACCAATTGTTACGCCCACACCTCCTGGCATATGCTCATTTATAGTGGCACTAAAGGTAAGGGCTTGTGCGCCCTGCTCGAATGGACAGACACCGCCGGCATTAACAGCAAAACTGCCGCGTAGAGTTTCCTCTAAGAGCGTTTGGATTTTATCTTGATCGTCGATATGCACAAAACCAAGTCGCACCAATTCACTAGTCAAATCAGAGGCCGAATCGGCTTCCGTTACCTGACACGTTAACTGCCTATTCATCTTGTCGTCCATGCGAAGTAATATTGTCATTGCAATATCACTACTATCCTCTTTCAATTTTTTTACACTACACATCATATTCACTATGCGGCGAGACTCTATGTCTACCGGCTCAGGTGTTGCAGATTTGACGGAATCGGCACGTTCTGGTGATGCGGCGCGTGAACGAAAATGCGGCGGTTTCTTGCCACCTAACGCGGTTAATGGATACACACCATATTTCACATCTTCCACAAATTTCTCCAGCTTATCTGCTGTAGGCACGTCTGAGAGACGATAGTCCTTTTCTTCTTCTCCACGTGACACCCGGGCCATAATAACTTCGGGTCTGTTATAGCGTTGCATCATGCCATCTATGACGGTTTCGGAAAACATAGTCCGATTTTTGGGTGCGAATACTAGACAGTGAGCGGCCAACAGCTTGAGCGAATGCACCTGCAAAAAACGTGGATATTTAAAGTTTCACTTTTCGATTGAATTTATAAATACTGCAAAAAAAAAATACAAACTAAAATGCAAACATTCTAGGTGTTTTTTTTTTGGAGAGGAACACATATACGGCTAGCACAGTTATTTGATTTTATATAGTTTAATTCTTGCCCTCACTATTAGTGTAATTGTCTTACCTCGAAGAGTAAAGGATGAAATAGCAAATCGTTGGCACTTGGGCGCTCAGCGGGATTCCGACGTAAGCACTTGAATATAAGATCACGTTGCAAATCATGCTCAAGGCTATTAATAGTACGCAATATCGTCTCCTCATTTATGGAACTCGTTTCAGTGCCGCTAGGTTGAATTTCCAAAGCAGCCATTTCCAACGCACACATACCGAAGGCATAAATGTCGACGGCGGCAGTCAACTGCTCGGCAGCACCATACTCGGGTGCCATAAAGTGATGTGTCTCACTTTGATCGCTTCGATGATGCAGACGTAAATTGTAGTGTACCGCATCGGGCACAACTGCACCGATTTTCACCAGACCATTATGCTGGATGAAAATGCTATCACAGGTGAGGTTGCCGTGTATAACAGGCGGTGTGCAGGAATGCAAGTAGCTCAGCGCGGACAGAATCTGTGTACACCAGCGGCGCCACGCCTCCAATGGCAAACGTTTAGCATTGCGTTTAGTGCGTTTGAGGAACTGTTTCAATGACCCCGACGACATGTATTCCGTTATGAATATGACGCGTGGTCTATCTGCATTCTGTGTGTCCGTCCAATAGCGATGGAACTTGACTATGTTCTGGTGATCTAATTGCATTAGATTGTCAAACACTTGTCGCATTTTTTCTTCTTGCGATTTAAGCTCTTGCAAATTCGCATATTGCACCTCATTCCAAACAACCTCAACGCCCTCTTCGGTGTCCATAGCCAGATGGACGCAATCAATACCGGGCACATCACGCTGATCAACTTCTTCACGTCTTTTCAACCATCTCCCACATGGTGACTCCTCAAGGATTTCACTTTCATCCTCAGAATCATCGCCTGACTCACGCGGTGACGAATCCGCTGCCATATTGATCGTATCTGCGGTGACTGTTGTCGTTGAAGCGCCAATGATTTGTGGTGGCGGCTGTTGTGGTTGTGATTGTTGTTGCGACTGTGGCGCCGCTTGTTCTGCTGTGTTTCCCCCTCCACCACCGCTACCACTGCCGCTGCCTGCTCCATTGCTGTCGCTGCCGACATTTACTTGGCCGCTTGACATTGGAGCGCGTGTATGCAGGGCGCGTGTATTGTTTCAGCGACTGCTGCTATTGCGATTGCTGTCGCTGTTTGTCTAAAAAAATACTTTTATTTTAATTTCTTCTTCTTTATGTTCAGTAGTTCTACTCTTATTGCTTTTTATGTTATACTCTCGTTCTGTCGTTTGGTTGGTTAGTTGATTGGTCGGTTAGTCAGTTGATAAGTTTCCTTGTTGTTTTAAGGCGTATCTTTTATTTGTGTTCGCTTTTAATTCGTTTCTCGTTGATCTTATTTTTTTTTGTGCTTTCCTTTCGTGGTACCCTCCTTCCAATCGTGTTGCACCTCCTGTTTTACAACAGACGTCGTTTTCACTTCATTCGGTATGCACAATATGTGCTTTTCAAGCTACTTTAAATAGCTTTTCCATATAAATGCAACCGGCTTGCGGTAATAATTGTTAATTGCAAAATACTATTGCAATTCTGCTAATTTGTAGCAATTTGCACGTCGGATATCTTTCTTCACGGCACCGAGTTTTTTTCTGGATACACTGACAGCAATCGATGAATGACACTGACAATCAATGTTGTCAATTTCTTTATTCATTTTTTCAAAATCGATACCATCACCGGTCGCTTACTAAAGAAGTTATTAAAATATACTTGCTTTGTAATATAACTTCGAAATGCTTATTTATGAAACAATGTATCAGTTAAGCTAAGAATAAATATATGATATTTTTTAGTTCTTCGAAAAGTCATCCTAAAAATTAATTTTCAAACGAGAAACAGAACTATTATGTTATCTTTAATTGCTAAAAATAATTTAATAGAATAGAATTAGAATAGGTTAGTGTGACATTTTTTATTACAAAATTAAAGTAAAGATAAATTATAATAGTAAGATGGCTATCATAACTGGTACTGAAAGATAAAAGAATATTTC